TTCAATGCGGGATTCAAGAGCAAAATTCTTAAGTATTATCTTTAGCGTGTGGCGAAGTCCACAACCGTCGCCGAATTTAAAATGTGGATACAAAAACTTCGCGACGTGAGTACTGCTACATATGATTGGTTGATACAGAGGCACCCTCGGGAGTGGAGTCAGTCACATTTTTCGGTGCGTTCGAAGAGCGACATAGTACTTAACAACGGCTGTGAAGTGTTCAATAAGACATTATTAGAGGACAGAGAGAAGTTGATACTGAATATGTTTACATCGGTTTATATGACTTTCATGACAAGAATACAGAAAACGCGAGATAAGATGGTAGGATGCCATGGTCGTTTGTGTCCAAAGATTCAGAAAAAGTTGGATAAGACAAGCGATATGTCAAGGGAATGTATTTTGCATTTTTCAAGGGGGCCGAAGTGGCAAGTAAAATGCAGTTATGGGACATTTGTCGTCGATCTTGAGGAACGAACATGTGCGTGCAGGAAATGGGATATCACTGGTATACCGTATATGCATGCCGTTGCTGTGATACGCGATTGCAGGAGTCAACCCGAAGATTTCATTGACAATTGTTATAGTATTGAGACATACATGGGATGCTACAATAATATTGTGAACCCAATTAATGGAAAATTATTGTGGCCTGAAGTAGATGCACCTACAATTCCCCCTCCCCCCCAAGTGGACCATGCCTTGCAAGGGAAAAAACAGAAAAAGAGGCGAAAACAGGCAGAAGAAATGGTTGTGCGCATGAAGGGAAAAGCATATGTGAAGAAGAAGGGAGCTGTGACGATGGCTTGCTCGCAATGCGGATTGAAAGGACACAATAAGCAATATCATTCCAGTGCAAATGTGCCAATTGATGTAAGTGTACCATTTTCTTTGTGCATTTAAGTCTGACATTCATTGTGAATAATGTCATATTGTTAATTTCTATCTTACCACAGGATTGGGTAGAAGTTGAAATACAACCAGTTGAAAATAATTGCAATGTATTGGTAAATGAACAAGTAAGACAAGGACTAGTTGCATTTCGTGGTGTCATTTAATAATTGTGTTTGGCCGATATTAATCATTATTGTTCGATTTTAATAATTGTGTTTGGCAGGGTAAATTGGTTGCCACAAGAGGAAAGGGAACATTGAGCCAAGGCCGGAGGGAAGAAAATCAAATGCAATTCATGCCTACGCCTACGGTTGCAAGGGAATCGCCTTCAAGGATATTAGAATATGGACCAGCCGCTACTTTTGGTCGATGAGTTGCAACACATTGCTGATGTTGAAATAGCCATGGTGGCCTTTTTGTCATTGGAGTCTGTATGTTTTGTTAAACTATTTCTTGGATGTCATCTAGTGTGTGTCTGAGTTGGAATGATTCCAGTTAACTGCATAAAATTTAAACTTTTGATAAGGCATTGTGAATTGGGTGTAGGCCTTTTGATGATGGGATATCAATGAAATACACTGGTTTTTGTCCATGGCAATGTTCCTGTTATTTAGAACTTCTAAGTTTGTTGCTGGCTGTAAAGGTTGGTTGGACCGCCCTTCATTTGGTCAGGAAATCGGATGTTCAGTACTTTCAAAAGTTTCTTTTATGAATAAAAACCCGGCCCAGCAGCGAAAGAATGGCAGTGAATATTATTTCGATGATATCTCACATTTAGTCTGTTAATATGATATCCCAGCAGTTTAATATGTTGTAGTAATATGAGAAGGCTGTTTAAATCATGTTCCAATTATGGTAGCGATTTTTGTGAAAACAGGGAGATGGCAACGATGGCAGGGGACTAATACTGTTTCCACTTATGGTTAAACATTTTGAGTTGATGACAATGATTTCAATGATGTTGTAAAATCGGGGCAGGCCAGATGGGAGATGATCAGTATATATTATAAGCATCCAAAAAGTGAATTGCCATTAAATAGGACAGCAAACTCGAACAAGTAAGTAAGATCTTGCATCAATAATTGAATTAGTGTGAACGTCATTACAAATAAAGGTACATAAAACCGAAGCAAAATACCAAGTCGAAACAAGCACGGTTAGAAATGAAGCAAAATACTATGAATAAATGTATTGAAGTCTGATTTCTGTTGCTTTCAATTTTCTTGCTAAAATCTCCAACAGAGCCCTCAAATGCCTCAAAATTGAAATTGGGAGTTTTATCCCATCCTTTGGTAAAGAATCTGAAGAAGTTGATATTGAGCTCTTAGCAATAGAACCATGCCCAACTTTCGAACCAAAACCACCACTATTCCCACCGCCACCAGACAAATTGAACGAAATTTTCCCATCATCCATACTCATCGACTCTGTTGATGGTACCTTCTTGGAGCTATTAATCGCTTTGGAGCCAAACATAACAAAGTTCTACCAGTCCTAACAAATTCACATTTAGGCAAATCTCAAACCAGGTAACAAATTCACATATGCCCCTGTTACCTCTTTCTCGTTTTGAAAACTATCGGCTACCGATCCCTGGGTTTGTGAGCAAAATCAGTTTGGTATTGCCAGGAAGACGAAGACGAGGATGCATCTCAGTTCAAGTTGCTGAAAATTGGGTTCAATTGGGACTGGAAATAACTGAAAATCGAGTTCAATTCGCTGAAAATCGTTCTCCTTTGGTCGCAATTTGGGGCGGGAATTATGGCTTTTCAATGAGTAAAAAGCTTCATCACTCACTGAAATCGTGATTTGGGACTGGAATTCGGGCTTTTCGAAATCGAATTCTAGGGTTCTTCTTCGTTACCGGGTTTGGGCGAGGGACTTAGGAATTACAATTTCTGAGATAGAATTAGGGCTTTTCATTTGAAGTGGTGGTGTTTTCATTTTCATTTCGTGAAAGTCGTGATTTCTCTAGCCACGGAGTCGTGTTTTCATTTAGAGGAGATGTTGCTAACTGCCACGTAGACTACCGTCATGCCACGTCAGACGCCCTTCCAACGGCTGTTTGCTGAGTGATGGACGGAGGTCACTTCATGTAAGTTTAGTGACCAGCCATAAGCATATCAAAGTTCAGTGACTACAACATGACCAAAGGCAAAGTTCAATGAGTGATGAAACTTTTTACTTATAGTTGGTGAGTACTATTAAAAATATAATTGGGAAATTTTTTGATTTCCAATTCTTAATTAAGTTGTTATACTTTAGTTTGGGCAAATTTAATCAATATATTTTAATTTTGTATTAATTGGATTAATATATTTAAATTTTGTTAAATACAATACACTAGTGTGATCATCCAAAATGACACAACCAAAATACCAACAATTTTGATTCTTTTCAGCCCAGAAGTAAATGAGTTTTCCAATTTTCACATCTTCTAGGTCATTTTTTGACATCAACAGAGAATAGTGGTTAGTATGTAATAGTTAGAGTCACTGTTAACCAATATGACAAAATCGATTGAAATGGTTTGAATTAAAATAAAATTAAAGAATAATGATAAAATTAGTACACAATTGAGTTTAAGTAGCGTCACCACGAATGAAATTTAGCTAATTAGAAGTATAAAAATATTTACCATGCCCTATTTTTAACATTTTGCACGTGCTTTACGATTTTTAAGTTGGATTGGATTGTTCAAGTTTGGATAGACAAGTTCATGAAAAGTCAAACTTTAAAGAGCTTACAACACAATTTGTAGGTTCTGTTGAGCTAAAATTCAAAACCACTGGTCGAATTAATGAACATAAGAGCCAACCACTATCCCTGACCACATTTTTCTTGCAATTTATTTATTCCCATTAGTTTTACAATTATAATTTATTTAGTGTCCTTTGTACCTTGCGATTAAATTTTTTTGTACATTTAATGTATTTTCATCATTATTTTTTATTTATTGCACGAATTTTAACTGCAATTAAAGTTACTATCCTTTTCTCATTATAAGACTTAGCTTTTGTTTGATTACCATTATTGTATAGAAATGATGTTTTGAATAGTGAATTTTGGATAATTTGTGGTCAAAAAGTTGAAAATTTTGGTGTTTACGTGGAAAATATTTTATTATGTGAATGTGCGATTTAAAATGAATATGAAATATAATTTGTTTTGATTTAAAAGGAGTTAAACAAGTTTAAGTCCATAATTTTTTCATCAAATTTTTATCCTCCACCTTACATTAATTATCAAATTTCACCTTTGAAAATATTTTTTGTCAAAATATATGTTTTCATGCTTTGAAATAATATGTGTATATATACATATATATGTACATATATTTTTTCATCAATTTTTTATCTTCTACCTTACATTAATTATCAAATTTCATCTTTGATGATAATTTTTGTCAAAATATATGTTTTCATGCTTTGAAATAAACATAATAATAATTTTATGTACTTTTTGTGTGTGTGTGTATATTGTGTGTGTACATATACATATATATGTACATATGTAATTTTATACTTTCGTCAATTGTAATGTTCAGCTTTCATAAATCAATGATCAATTTACTTTCAATGTATTCAAAACCTCTGTTGTAAGCTTTCTACAAAATTATAATCAAATTTTCTTTCGTCCCGACACGATCGAGAAAAGGCGGAAGGTAGTATAGCGGAGCAGACTACTGCCGCACGATGTCCCTTTCTGTGCCAAGAAGAAAGGTACCCCATGAAAGTTGATGTACATATATATGTATATGTACATACATATGTGTGTGTGTGTACACACATATATATACATATGTACATACACACACACATATACATATGTACACACACAGATAATATATATATATATATATATAAACGGACTTTTGGGATGAAAATCGTCATCAAAGATGAGATGTATTAATTAATGAAATGTTGAAGATGATGATGACAATTGAAATAGAACCTCCATGCCTCTTGGTGGCACTTGGGAGATACTTCTACTACTCCGTTGAACAAATGTTACCTGCAAAACGGTGTCGGGGCTTCCTCCCTCGTTGTTCCTCCAGGGTGAGAATTAGAATGAGATTTTGGAATGTAAACTTAAGAAGAAAAGGTATGATAAGTGTTCAGATAGTCAAAATTCTAAGATCCATGCCTGTTTTGCCTTATGGGTATTTATAGGTGATAGGAGCCACGTAACTGCTGAGCGACCACGTGTCCCACATAGCCCTAGCCCCTTTCACTATCCCACATTCTGAGTGGAGGACCTCCGCCTATCTAGAGGTTGGTTGTGTTCGTGATAACCATTAAGTGATCCATATCCGGTCCAATAATGATTTCATGGTTAACTATTGTGTTGACCCGTAGAGGTAGATGGCCTTATAGTGGTCAACGACCTGGCATGGTTGTAGAGGACCTTATGGTGGCCAATGGTCCAACATGGAAGTAGAGTGCTTCATAGTGGTCGATGGTTCGACGTGGATGTAGAGGGCCTCATGGTGGTCGACGGTTCGACGTCGACGTAGAGGGCCTCATAGTGATAGACGGCCTCGCATGGATGTAGAGGGCCTCATAGTGGTCGATGGCCTGGTATGGACGCAAAAGGCCTTATAGTGGTCGACAATCCAGCATGGATGAAGAGGGCCTCATAGTGGTCAAAAGCCCGACGTGAATATAGAGCGTCTATTGAGTGGCCTTTACCTTGATGGTCATCATAGATAATTATTAGTATTATCCTATATTACTAGCTCCTCTATCCCTTGTTGAATTTATTGATAAGGGGTAGCTTCTTCATCCCTCTCCCCATTTTTTTAGTTTACTCATCTCTTGTCGATAATTGATATAATATAAGTAGGTCGAGCAGTTTAAGTGATGTAAGGTGGTGACAACACTACAAACATGGCACCCCATAAGTGAGTTTGGTTTTTAGGGGAAATTTTTCCCTAGAAAATTCAAAATTCTTATTTATGTAAACGAGTGAGGTCTCCATTTCCATTCATTCTTCCTTCCACAATTCGTCTTGTCCCTTCAATAATCAAGATAGTGAGTAGAACGTCTTTACTTCTTTCTCTGTCAAAAGTAAGAAAAAGAGGGAGTGAGTGTGTCGACCGACCCATCATCGATTCGGCCGGTAGATGCCTGATCGAGCGTTGCCTATTGACGATCGATCGACATCGGGAGGTCGGCTTGAGAGGTTGGTCAACACTCGATCAACCTCTTGGCTAGTCGATGCTCGATTAGTCAACTATGGCCAGCCTCATTGAGTGTCCCCATGAGGCTTGTCATTCGTCCCATGATTCTGATAGCCTAATCTATTGGCCAAAAGTCAAAAGTTCTAACCAAGCTTTCCCAAAAGACACTTTGGGTCAATCAAGTCCTTGGA